TGAATTTTGCGCTCTCTCTCTCTCTCTCTCTCTCTCTCTCTCTCTCTCTCTCTCTCTCTCTCTCTCTCTCTCTGTCTCTCTCTCACACACACATGCGCGCACGCACATGCACCGTTGTAGGCGCAGAAACACTTGTTCTACAGACTACGAAAGGTCAGTTGTGATTCGCTTCTTTTCTCGTCACGTTGTTCCGAGGAGGCACTGCCAAAGGTGACAGCTGCCTGGTCGCAGAATGTCCCAGAGATATGTAACGATCGCAGGGCTCTTCCTCGTTGCCAACAAGTAACACCATTGCACAAGCAAGTCAAGCTCCTCGTCCTAGAACTGGGAGAAGTGGAGATTAGGGCCTCGCCAGGAGTCACAGTCCCTACTTCCGATATTCTCACAGTAGCGCCGCACTCTTTGGTTCGTTCACCCACCTAGGACCTCTTCTGCAGCGATGCGTGGAAGTTGAAGGCCAACTGCTTGCGACTGCCGTTGCTACAGGATTCACTTCTAAGTGGTATTTCGCTTGAGCCAGTCTTGAACCGACGTGTTGTGGTTGCAAACGCTTGCGCAGACTTATCCTTCGTGCACAAGTGGGCGGGGTTTCGGTTGCCAAGGATACAAACACGTAGGCTGCTCATCCCAGTTTAATACTGAGAGCAGCCATTACTCGTAGCTTCAGGCAAGCGAAGGAGGACCTTTCGGCCAGCTCACAGAATTTCACAGCTTGACTGCGAATGGCTGTTCATGGTGTGGCAGTGCTCAGGCGCTGCTGGTCATGGCCTTTACGCCACAGTTCATGCGAGGTGGCACGAAGGTGCCTGTCTTGTTGGGATTGCGAGATGTCGCCATGTTGTGTTCACACTCACTATCTGAACTCACGGTTCTTCTACTCCTCTTTGCCAGGTTCGCGCTCCAGACCAGCAGGTGACTGTGTGGCAGCCCCAGCGGACGCAGGAAGGTTCCAGGGTCAGAGACGTTCCAGGTTCCAGGGTCTGAGATCGTGGTGTTCCGTTCTTCTCATTTGAAACCTCGCTCAATTCATGGGAAGTGTGAGAGCTGCGGAGGTGTTGGGTTGCCCCTCAGGTACACTAAAAAGAAGAAGCAGACAGCCACGAAGGTTGGAGGGGTGACAGCTTGCTTTCGCGAGTTCAGAATATTCAGCACCTGTTGTCACGGTTCTATGCGTCTGTACAGCACAGGAGAAGAACAAGATGGAGGCTCTCCCCGTGTGTTTACAGGGCATTTGCGGGTCCGTTACGTCACTGCATGCATCTCTTGCATCTGCCCCCGCTTCCGAACTCGACGAGGTCGCGGGAGGGTGCAACGTAAGCTCTTGCAAGCCGTAGCATGTCTGGTCCCTGCAGTCTCAAGGTGTTTTTTGTGTCTTGGGATGCTTGTGTTGATTCGGTTGAAGCTTGCAAAGCACAGCCTGCTGCAGATACTCCTCCAGGAGATCGCCGGGGCCTAAGCACCAATGGGGGACATTCAATGGCATTTGTGAGAGATGCCATGGCAGCCATGATTCCTTTCTGGCCGAGCCGCCCTATCATCATTTGCTAGCAGCTTGTTCATGAACGTTTGGTGTGACGTTGCCGTGACGTTGCCCCTGTGTCACATTGTGTCACGATTCTGTTTTCAGCCGCTGGCTGGCTGTGCTGACTAAGCTGGGTGCATTCCGCAGTTTGCGTGTCTGGTTTTGCTTTGCAGTGTCACATAGGCGATGTGCCGCTACCCTGCTCCAGTGGGTTTGTTCCACGACCATGTCCTAAAATGTGCACCCCATGCAACGAGGTTGATCTCGGCTTGGACCCAACCAGGTGAGGGCGGCTGGGTATTGCTCCTTCGGATGGCATGAATGAGCATAGACTCGACTTCGCAAGTCTCAAGTTCAATGTTAAGCCTTTTCCACACCGCATCCTTTGTTTTCTTGTCAGGACTGTAGCATGCGTTCTCGAACTTCCGCGCGGAAAGGGTGGCGTTCGGTCACAGCCTGAGTCCTGTTTCTGCATCGGACTGGCCCGAAGAATACAGGGATCTAGCTTCCACAGCGAGCGTACCACCTCCCACCTCGCTTCTTAGTTGTATGAAATTAACCCGTCTTCTGTTCTAACATCGTATTTGATTGACCCTGCATCTGACCCACCACGTCCAGACCTTTGCCTGTCTGCCCTGCATGGACATCTGCAAGCCTAGGATGAGTCCGCGCTTTACCGACGCTGCTTGGCTCGTGCTTTCCAGGGATATGTCTCTTGGAACAGCTGTTCCCGGGCTCATTCGAGAGGATTAGTGGAGCCAGCTAGCTGCACTGTGTTCTTATGAAGGTTCGAACCGCTCCGGCAGGCAAGTGCGCAAGATGGCGGAGGGCTTTCTGCGCTTTACCAGTGTCGAGCTATGCAGTAGTCCAAGATGCAGGCTAGCCAAACGTCACGAGAATCTGAAGTGTTTTCTACTGTGTACGTGACACAGGCAAGCAAGATCAGGTCGGCACATGCCGGAGGAAAATTGCTGCCTCTGCAATCACCGAACAGCAACACCGGTCCTACAGTTTCGTTGTGCTTTGAATGCAAATTCGACGTTTGTACTTTCACATGTCTTGAAGGTCATTCTGCAACAGAAGTTTCGTTGCGATCTCAAACTAGGTGCCCCGTCGTCCGGTGGACAGCCCGACTGAAGTTACATGATTCAACACCCTTCAAAAGCGCACACGGTGTGCTTCGTGACTTGTGGTCGTTGTACTTCGTTGGCTTTAATCGAGAGCTGCGCAGATCTTTATGGTCACTTCCTACAGCTGTGCAAGTGGCGGGCCAAGGATTTGCACCTCACTGTGCAGATGTGGGAAGCTCAGATTTGGGGGCCGAAGAAACCCCACGTGGTGGTGCAGAGCGGCTCCGTGAAGAAGAAGATGACCCCTCAGGATCACTGGTGAGGGCTTCCAATTGGTCATGGCAAAGGACAACCGGGTGCTAGCCTCACTGACAAGCCCTGCCATGCCTGCATTGCACGTTGGAACAGGTCCTCATCTCCTTCGAGGATGCGAAGAAGCAGGAAGACGAGGAGGCCGACGGAGCCGAGTCCTCCCTGCGGCCGAGGCACAGGGGACCCGAAACCGAGACTTTGCAACACGTGACTGATCCACTGACACCGCCTTGCTCGTATCCTAGCCAGGTAAGAGCTCGCTTGGGTTTGCCGAAGCTCTCTTTCCTTGGGGATTCGATCTTTAAGTGACCTCTGATTCCGACATCCGTCAGCCTACACAGCGCAAGCACAGAAGTTCACACATTCTGCCCCATGGAGCGATACACATCGAAGCAAGATCATTATGTCACCGGATATTGGATCTATAGTTGCAGCATCTGCACGTCGTGCCGTCTCAGGCCCAAGCCTGACCCGTTCGCCAGCATCAAGACCGACTCGCGGCTGTCATCCAGTGATTTGTGTTTTGAGGGGTTTAGCTGGGCCGCCTGGTGCGTCTTGCATTTTGCAAGTATGACAGGGAAAGGCAACTCAGGGTAGATTAGCTCGTGTGCTCTCTGACCGAACCTACCCGTGGCATCTGATCTTAGAAGCCACTCCATGTGCAGGCAACCACAAAGATGGGAAAGGCTTGGATAGTAAAGCCCAATACTTGCAAACGATCTGCCTAAAGAGTTTTGCACTAGCACTCGAAGGATCCTTGTCGATTGCGGGCTGGATTGCAGAAGGCTTCAAGCTCCAAGGACATTCATTGGCACACCACCATTCCACATTGAAAATCATCCACGTTAGCCAGCACCCAAGAACGAAGCTTCATCCAAGGAGCCCTGCTGCACGCTCAGCGAGGAACGCCGACCGAAGACAAGCGTTTGCTTGGCCGCTTCATTCGGTGATCGGTCACATACATGTGTCACAATCCTTGTATCTCCCCGCCGAGCAGCACACTGTCACCATCATTGTTAACGTACCCTCAAGCAATATGGCTGCATGCTAGATTTTCGCAGCACGCAAGACAGGCATTGTAAGAGGCTGGAATCATCCCTTGCCGCTGTTGCACGACATTTCTCGAGAAATCGCACTACACGCACCCTGCAGATCCCTGCAGATATGTGACATGTCGGTGCAATGACCTGCAAACTCGCAGGAGGTTGGATTGGTGTCCGGCATCTCAACGGGCGCTCACTACATAGACCTCTTCGGAGCGGGGCCCAGCACGACATGCTGGTCGTGCAGAGTGGAGGAATTTGCAGGTAAAAAGCTTCAGCTCTTGTACTAACTTGTTGGCTGCATCCATAGTCGGCAAAGTGTCACCCGCAGACGGTAGTCAAGGTGGACCAGGGGAACATTGTCGGCTTGAGGATTTCGGGCGGACACGACGTGCCCTGCAGAAGCGATGATGTCTAGCATCCAAGGAGCAGGGCGCTGGAAGTTCCCGGTGAACTTGCTTAGCAGCCTCAAGAAGGAGCAGGAGAGACGACTTGGGGTTGACCAATGGAAGCAGGAGTTGGTGGAAGCAGTGGTAGTGGCAGCGCTGTAGCCGTAGTACTCGTGCTAGTGGTAGCGGTGCAAAGGGGCGTCTGGGGTTGGCGAGTGTGACGCCAGGAAGCTCCTGAGTTCAGTTCAGACAGCGGCAGCGGGTAGCAGTAGTGGTGGTGGTAGCGGTGTAGTCTTCGTCGTCAGTCGCGGTCGGAGTCGGAGTTGTAGTCGTTAGACCGGGTGCAGCTTGAGGTTTGAGGGCCTCTCTGCACGGCAGACAAGAGTCAAGAGAAGAGGTTCAAAGGTTCTTGTGCCGCTCAAGTCGCAGGAGGAGCGTGCCCGGCGTAAGGCGGCAGAGGCCGAGGCAAAGCGCAAGGCCGCGGCGGAGGCCGAGGCAAAACGCAAGGCCGAGGAGAAGGCGGGCTCCTTCCACACTTACCCAATCTGCTGGCCTTTTCCGAGGTCTCCAAGTGGGGCAAAACATGGGAAGGGCAGGAAGTTTGTTTTGTCCGCATCGGCTAGCTGCCCTCTGTTGCCGCTCGCCTTGACGTGTCTGGGTTGCTTGTCACAGGTGAGGGTGTTCTCCCAGGTCCTCAGGTGCATGATCGTGTGTGCGGGAGAACGAAGCAAGAAAGGCCAACATTGCTGCGATAGGAAGACGACATGGTCGTTGGACAGGGCTCGGTGCAAGAAGCTGCGGTGCGCACAAGACCGGTCCAACGCCGCCTACAGAAATGAGTTGCTGGACATTGCCGAGATCTCTGTCATGTGACAATGGCCTGTTGACTGTTGGGCAGTGTCGACACGGTTCATGCTGTTACGAATAGCTCTGACCAATCACGGCTTTTTTGCCAGGCAGCTCCTTTGCTAGCTGTGCCATATCTTTCTGAATGCATCTCAGAAGTTGTTGGGCAAGAGATTTTCTGGCAGACGTAACTTGCAGGCAGCAAAGAAGGCAAAGAAGGCAGCATTGCAAGAAGCCGCCAATGCAAGTCCCAAGTCCCGCAAGGACTCAAGCTTTTCAACGCAGCTTTGTGGGCTTGTTCAACACAGAGGTGCTTCAAACTTGCGCTCTGGCAGGACGAGGACTCTAACAAAGTGGAAGACCCAGAAGTGAAGGCCGCGCAATCAGCTGAGGCTTTAGTTAATCTGGTGGTAGTTGGTGTTAGAAAGCTGCTTAGTTACCGAGCTCACAGTAGGGAGCCTCCATGTTTGGACGTTGCTCTGCCGCCACATTTCAAGTCTCAAGAGGATCGTGGCAAAGTGCTTCACTTTGTCCTTCCGTCGCTGCGTAGATCAGTTCAACATCCGAAGCCCAGCAGACTTTAGTCCTTTGAGGGCCCCTAGGCCGAAGCCGCCGAAGCCCAGCCGCCCAGCCTCCGTAGCGAAGCAATGGCGGACTATGTGGAGCAGGCGCTCCAGGACTTCCGCCGTCCGCCGAGCGACAAGGCTTTTACCGCTGCCGAGTGCTGCGCTCAGGACATGGTCCCAGAGCTGGACGACCTCCGGCGGCGGAAGGTTTTCTCTGAGGATGAGCTGAGGCAGCTGTGCCGTGCAAGGTTGCCAACCTAGGCCGGCTGCCACTTGGCCGCTTCGGGTACAGTGTTGTCTTCAGGCACATCGTGCGCCGTCGTCGAGAGTTCGAGTACACTCTGCAGAAGCTCAGTTGCATGTGGCAGATGTGGCACTAAGCCATTCGAAGCGCACGGCGCCCTTGCACACCCGAGGCGGAACCCTGGCAAGCCACAGGAGCCAGTTGCCCTTGCTTGACCCCTTGCTTGATGTTGCCGGTAGGTGGGTTTGCCTGCTTTAAATGACCACAAGAGACTTGCAGAGAGGACTACTTAAACTATGCCGGGATCTCGGAAGCCTGCAAAGCTCTTGAAACGTGACTGCTTCCTTCTGTTCAGCTGCCTGAAACTCGTATCCGAAAGAGATTGACTAAGCCTACCTTGTCGTCATTACATGGCAGTTGGATCTACTTATTCGGCAAAGACGCGTTGTATAGAGTTGCTGAGTATGTCGTGTGAAGATTTCGTGTTCATATTCTTGTCCTCCGTCTTGTCGCTCTTGGTCCGTGGCCCTGGTCGTGGCAGGTTGTGAAGCTTCTGCCAACAGTGCAGGGGCAGGAACGTGTAGACAAGTCCACTCTACCGGCCTTTGCCATGCTTGGAATGCTGGGGCGGGCTGGTCTGTGGATTCTGCTTTTGAGGCTGCAGGCCGGCGCTGGGAATGCAGTTGCAGTGGATGATGAGTGCGGACACGAGTCAGGGCAGTCCTGCACGCTGCAGATGCTTCAGCATGTCGCCGAACGGCGACTGCACTCGTATGGACCCATGCGCCCGGACCCTTCCATCGTGCGGTGGGACCAGGTTCCATCCGGTGGCCGTCTCGTCACTGGCACCCTGAGTGTCTTCTTGGACCCTGCAGATGCAAAGAGCCCTCAACTGGAGCTGGAGATCGCCATGTACTTTTCAGACCAGCAGCCTGCGCCTTTGGGACCCTTGCTGCTTCACTGCGGGGGTCCGGGTTCCGACAGCAGTTGCCTCAGATATGCCACTGGGAGGAAGATATCGCTTTTTGAGCTCTTCCAGTTTGCGGTGAAGTGGTTTGATGCAGTGAACTGCTTTTGTTGACCGAGGCTTGGACTTCCCACCTCGTGGACTTCCACCTCGAAGGGTACGACGTTTGGTCCATCTCGCAGCGTGGAATAGGGCCGAGAGCCGATCCGGCACTGAACTGCAACAACTCTCACCTTCCGCCCGCGGGCTGCCCGGCCACAGGCCAGAAACTCAGCTTATCTCCGCCTTACAAGCTGCACTCATTGAGCTTTGGCTACATGCCAAACACCAAGTCGTATCAAGAGACACTAAGTGACTACCTGCCAGTGCTTCAAATCCGAAACATGTTGCTTTGAGTGATGCCGAGGTTGCCAAATCAGCGACTTCACCGACTGCCCATGTGCTCTGCTGGATGGGACACCCCAGATCGGCGAGGTTCTGGGCGTTTGCGGTAGCTTTCAGGCTTGAGGTTTCTGAGGTCGAGAGGTGATGTGCAGGGTTGCAGCCTAGGTTGTTGGTCGCAGTTGCGTCTTTGCAAAAAAGCAGATTTAAACGGAGACTGCCACTGACCCACTGAGATTTGGGCCGACATCGACCCGCAGAACGAGACGCAGGTTGAGCATCTCTTACAGAAGAGAGATGCCTGGGGCAGCAGATGCGCAGCCTCTCCAAAGTTCCAGTTGACAGGGGCCAACGGCAAGACCTATAACTTTTTGGAGTACGTGGGATCCCAGTTTCTTGCCTACGATATTGATCGGTTTCGTCGTGCAATTGGGGCACAGAAAATGAGCTTCTATGGGTATAGCTACGGAACATATGTGGCGGGTGTATATGCTTCGGCCTTCAGTGAGTTCACGGGCCGTGTGGTTCTGGATGGCAATATGGATCCCACGCCCCGGAAGACCGCACAAGCCACTGGCGATGCGTTAGCCAACGACAAATTCATCGCGTTCTTGCTGAATACCTGCCGCGAAACAGCTTCAGAACTGTTTTTGAGTTCTAGGCAGCTCGGGAATAGATCGCATTGCTTATTTGCTTCAGGCATGCCCAAATCTCATTCAATGGTATCGTCCCACTGTGTCCATGCCAGTAGCTCAGGCAAAGCTGCACCAGACTGTCCGCTAGAACACCCCGAAGAAGAGTATGACCAGATAGTGGCCACAGCTCGTCAGGGAAACTTGACAGCGCCTACAAAGTCCGGGATGCAGTTCCCATTGACAGTTGGCATGCTGATGGCTTACATTCAAACCGAGTCGGCATCAAACTCCGGGAGGCTGTTTCACAGAATTCTGGAGACTTTGGCAGGGCTCTCTCCAAAAGCCAGTTCCGAGACGATTCAGTCAACGGTCACCTTCATCCTGGATGGGTTCTGCTTTGTGAAAGGCGTCAGCACCTGGTACAACTATGACATTTGTGTTGGTCCCGGACAAACAGCGGAGGACGAGGAGGGTACTGGTCAGGATTTTGGAGAGCCGTACATGCAGCAGTGCGCGGTTTGGGGCGTGGATCAGGCAGGGTACTTTGACGTCCCGGACCTCCTCCGTCAGTGGAAATCTGCTACCTCCAGTAAAGGCGATGCCGGTTTGGCTGCAGTGGTTGGAGACATGGTGGGCTATTTCCTTTGGCCAGTGAAGGCGACGCCGAACGCACCGATGGGTAGTTCTATCGTGTACCCGCTGGTGGTGGGAAACTTGTTTGATCCGGCTACCAGCTACAGCTGGGCGCAGAACATGAAGAGTGCATTTCCTGGGGGGTCGCTGATTACGTGGCAGGGGATCGGCCACACCTTTCCAGTCCACGCAAGCGATTACAACAAGGATGCGGTCAAGGAGTGTCAAGCTCACATTAAGGCCTACCTCCAGAAGGGCACTATGCCTGTAAATGGTCTGACATGCTTTCAGGACAAGCCACCTCCCGTTTCATGAGTCTAGAGCTGCCAGAGGAAAGGATCCGCAGATCCTCGTGTGCCAGCTGTGCCGTCACACCTGTTGGCCTGTCGGTTTAGTGTCCTGATTATGCTTGTAGGTGCGGTACGAGATTGCTCTGGAGGCCTTGAGGCTTGGAATCTAGGGATTTGTTTCGTAGTGGTGCAAACGGCAGAGTCAGAGTCTTGTCAAAGGCGCCGCCGAACCAGTGCCCTCCGCTGGAGAAAATACTCGATCAGTACAGTCGCTTGATTCTCAGTGCTTTAGACTTTCCAGACGGGCAGCGCAGTGTCATGCCGCTACAGTTTCAGTTATGAGTCTTGAGCAATTGAGGCAGGGCTAAGGCGGATCCACAATATCCTCCATCGGGGATCGTGCAAGCCTGAGGGCTGCGATGCGTGCTCTGAAGCAATTTCGTCAAAGTTGTCCAAACGAGTGGATTTTCAAGGCACAGGTTCAAGGGAGACTTACAGCTCTGGCAGCGCTCTCGGCTTTAATACCTTGCAAAAACTAACCCGGTGGTATGCTGCAGACTACAACTGTATGCCCAGGTATCAACACGTGGACTTCTGTTTGAGAAGTGGTCCATGCTCCAAGCTGTCAGAGACGCGTCCAAGCATCACCATCACAGCCTTGCTGCCATCTTGTGTCATTTTGTGTCCAGGCAGTACGGCGATGTTGACACGGGTGCTGATGCGGGCAGTCAAGCACAGACCCTGGTCGTCCCAAGATTTGAGATGGGCAGCTGAAGATAGCTGAAGCAACCTCAGGTATCATCCGAAAGAGGTTCATCTCTGGCTGCTTGCTGCAGATCGAGAACTCCAGCAAGGCGAGTGAGCAAACACGGAATGTTTTCTGACCGTGATGCAGAGCCACAGATCATCAAGCATCTCCTGTCGGCCTTGCCCGGTCTGCCAGAGTCTATTGCGCTTCCACGTGTTGTCATCTCTGTGTATGACAGGGCATGTTGAAGCTGCGCGGAAGCTCCTGCTACGGGGCCTGCGGTGCGTTCCCACATCGGCACGGCTCCCATGCGATGCTATGCGGTGCAGTTGCAGCCAATACTGTACAGGGTGCGGGTAACTAGGTGTTAAGCGAATCTCCATGCGTACTGTGGCGGTCTGTTTAATTATGCCCCCCCCCCCCCCCCCCCC